ATCATATGTAGTACAATGTTTGACCTTGCTGTGACTCAACATATTAAAAACCCCAGTGGACCACTAACCGAAAAACATTACCTAAGATTATGCACCCAGGATTAATATCAAGATGGTTATATATTATTATAATATAACCCTTATGCCTTTAAATTTAAGAGCTACTTTCGAATGCTATCATTTTATTGTGTGTTGATGTATGGTGATTTTGTAGTTTAGTAAAGTGAGCCTTATTGTGTAGGTGATAGAGAATAGTATAAAATGTATTGTTCGAGGTCAACTTTCTACTGGCGAGAGTAGGGGCGAACCGGATCTGAACATTCACTATACAACGATTGTTAGGTCTTCGTATTTTGGATTAATGAAGCCTACTCCATTATTTTGTTAAAAATATAGTAACGAAAGAAAGATGTAAATAATAATAAAATTACTTCATTTCCTATCAGAAATATATTCGAAATCATAATAAATATCATTATTAATATAAAACACATAAAAAGTCATTAACAAATACGAAAATTTTTGTTTTTTTTCTGCTCTTACTCATTTTTTCTAGTTTTCTTTAAGTTGAATGTACTGAGATAAATTTTACCCAGATTTTACCCATACAATTCTGGAGAATAAATCATGCAAAATAAATATGTATACTTAAATATAATTTACGTACAAAGTATAGTCGAATCTAGACAAAAAAAAAATTATGGCCACATTTCATGTACTATAGTACGTCTAGGGCTTAAGCAAACATTAATAAGTTTAAATTCGTTACATTATATAATAAAATTATGAAGAGACAAAAATAATTTGCTCTTAATATCACTTTGATTCGATCAATCCTTTTTTTTAAAATATTCAATTGAAGTTCTAGTGAAAATACTGCAATAGATTTTGTTCGAAATAATTAAACTAATTCCGTTATTGTTTGAACATATTTCATTGTTTCTTGCTTTTTACAACTTAATTACTATGAAGATGCTTATTCAGTATTGTATCCTTCACACGTCGATGGATGAACATGAACAGAGAAATAGAAGTAGCTCATGCGTTGACTTTTCAGATAGGTGAACTTCAACCACATAAAAATTCTACTGAAATAAGTTTTCCTGGCAAGTACCGATGTGATTTTTCCGAGTCATATGTACTTTCTAAGAGTATTTAGACATCACTGATTAATGCATTCCCAAAAAGGGTTGATGTCAGGCAGGCGACCGGTCGTAAAAACAATTAGCCAAAACTATTCATAACATGTAAGGCAGGCCCTGGCTAAAGCTGGAATATTGCCAGGTAGAAGAAGAAATCTATTGTTTGGGTTAAACTGTGACAAAAAAAAACAAACAATAGAAAAACACGCTACAAAAAGTAATACAATCAGATATTTCTGAAATGACAATGTAATTTGATATAATGATCATTCTATTAATCTTCTAGAAAGTATCAAGATTGCAGCATCACTCTATAGCGGGTTGGTGGCGATTTTGCTTCCTAATGGACCTTTGTTGCATCTTCAACGCTTTTAGCCGGAAAATGTTTTATTTTTAACGATCATTATTCATAATAATTGGTTGTTTAACTTGCTTTATCGGAACGCTTTCACTTTTAATACTACATACAATGGTCTCTTTAATAATTCACGAAAGTATTACAACTTATTTTCTAAGCATAAATGTATTCTTTCAAGAGGTTTTATAAAGGAACTATTGTTTATAATTACACTTGAAATTTACTGTTACTTAAAATCGTTGCATATTATTTCCTCAATATACATATTGTATCATTTTTTTCCCTCACTCCCAATCTATTTAGAAACATGCTATTGTAAAAACTTATTATACATATAGGTGATGAATATAAAAATAATTTAGTTCTGTTAAATATGCATATTCTAGAAGTCAAATGAAAATTGAAAGCAGTCTAATATTTTTTTTATTAAATAGATACATGAAGCACTGTTTCAAGGGAATTGCGTTGAAAAGCTAACATTTTAAGTAACTATAACCTCAGATACTCTTTTTTTAATAGAATCCTGGTTTGCTACATATTTTTTTGTGATCAATAAACAATTAGATACTTAGTAAAGAAAATACGATTTCTAATAATAAAAAAATCTGTTATTTCCCATTAGACATCGCAAAGGCTTTTGATCGGGTCTGGCATCGCGCACTTCTATCGAAGCTACCATCGTACGGACTACCCGAGGAATCTTGTATGGGCGGAATACAGGTTGTTGTTGACGGTTCTATTTAATCAAAGTAGTGCTATTGCAAATAGAATAATATTAGTATGTTTCTAAATTATTGTCTACATTTTGCTTTTTTTAACCGACTACGAAAATAGAAGGGGTTCGCCGGGAATACTAAACTAGAACGACCTAAAAGTAACCTAAACCGAATTTAACCTACACTTATTCTGATCTAACTCGAAAAATGGAATAAATCAATAAAAATCGTTAATCTTCTTCATGTTAATAATCTTTTTAGTTCCTATGTTGTGTTTTTGAAGTCGGCTTTTTTTACTTAAAAATAGTCCCTATTACATTTAGGATACTTTTTAGCCAAAGAAATATATTATTTAATTAAGATTAGAGTTTTTTGCGAGATATTTGAAAAAAAATAATCAAAAATAAAAACATTATTTTATTTCCATGACTGACAATAAATAATCGGTTAGTAAACAGTCGGAGTTCATTTGGTTATAAATTATTTCTAACTCACAATTAAATAGTAGATATAAATTAACTCATTCACACAAATAAATAACAAACAAAACTGTAATAAATTAATCTTAAATTCTAATCTGTACAAAAGAAATTATTTACATATAACAAACATAACAAAATATTAAAAAAATACACTTATTACACATAAAAAGACTTAATATCTCCTATTTACATAACAGGGGTAGAAATAAGGTGTACATAGAACATAAAATATAAGTTCTACAAAACATTATTTAGACAACACAAGAACAACTTAATATACATTAACTAAAATATTTTAAAACCTAGAATATCTATTGAACTATTTTTAGGACAATTCTGTAGCCAACACAATAGCTTTCTTTAATTATTGTTGTTATGGGTGCCACTTAAAAATGGCTACAAATCAATTTCACATCTCCCGATAGGCTTATTCGAATTTACAATCAGTAATTGCTTCACTGGCACGGATCAATTTACTTCTGACAATTTGCCCCTTTGTAAGGATTAATAAGTGAAGAGAAATATGTCTATCAAGTTGAAATACAATGACCCTACTATTTGGTACAATTGTTTGAAATTCTATGGAAGATTTTTAAAATTTGTTACATAATTATTTGTATATCATATTGCTGACCATACAATGGTCTAATATTTGAACTTGAAGAATTAAATTTTAGATTAATATAGTTTTAATAAGTTATACCTTATAAATAAATCTTTAACCAATCAGTACACCTCATTGCCTGAAACAAAATATTGGTTTATATTATACTTGGTTTCTTAAAGGTATATTATTATGTAAAAATATTTTATACGCTACATTTTGTCACGGCACCACCAAAGCTTTAATAAAACCCCAAAAATATTTTTGGATACAAGACGCATAAATTACGCCGAGGCGTCTCTCTGAAATCTCCCAAAATCCCTAACAAAATACTTTCTACATAAAATTTCACTATGTTTTTGCAGATTTTTATTTATATATTTGTGATTATAAATGACAATTTCTCAGTAGTCATAGGTGCTAATTTACATGTGTAGATGACAATCTCACTATGTACGTTCATATAATTTTAATTCAAAAATTACTATTCTTTTAAATCCGCTTACAAGAGTTTTATTCCGGTATTGCGATATAAAAATATAATCCTCTTACTCCTTATTTGAAGGTAAAAATAGAGTCACCTACAAAAGTTTAAAACTTAATAAGGCTTAGGTTGTTTTGAATTCAGTTCTTATGAAATGAAATTATAGGAAAAATATTTTCTTCCTAACTGGTTAATATTGAGATATAGACTGATTTAAAAATGCCGATGCCTTCAAGCTTCAAGTGCCTTGACCCTTGAAGATATAGGTCATTGTTAGGTAATATATTGAAATGGAAATCTTGTTTTATATTTAAGAATTAAAGTCTGTTGACATCATTTCTTTTAATCTTCCAAAATTTTATAATTTATCCATATATGTTAAAATTTTATCGACTTTCATTTTATATTTTACACTTCTTTGCAGTGGCATGACACATGAAAGTAAATGGTTTAAGTGATTCATAATTTTTAACCCAACACTATCTACGAGTACCTCACAATGATGAGCCATAGAAAATCATGCCAATAGTTTTACCTTCCATCAGTATTCTGATACCTTCTTACAAATTAAACTATTATGCTATATTTCCACCATAAGTACACCGATTTTAAGGAAAAATATATTTTATATTATTAAAGTGTATGAGATTTGTAGTGTATCACCTCTTTATTAATTTAGTTACTGGCCGGTAAGCAAGTAAGATTCTTAAGAATAATATGTGAAAAATATAGCATTAATAAAATAATGGAGATATAGACAACAATGTATTTGATTTCTTTAAGTATATTTAATAATATTTATTATTGAAAAGTTTTAATAAATTCTGTTCCATATTTACACGCAAAAGTAACACGCCTACTATGTATATTCCTTAAAAACACATTCTTGTAATTAGAAGTATAACACTCGGTAAAGTTTCCTTTACTAATAGTCTATTCGTTCCAAACTTTGTAGGAAACTTTATTGTACCAACAAACTCACACTAATTGTAAATTATTTTTTATTGAAAGTATTTCAATCAGCATGGTTCTCTATTACAATTTTATATAAACATCCGTAAAAATATATAAAAAAATAATAATAAACCAAAAATCGAAATATTACCGTATTATTACCGTTCTATTATTGTATTATTACTGGATTACTACCGTATTATTAGCGGACTACATTCATATTATTACCGGATTAATAACGTATTATTACCGTATTCATCCTAATTATGCAGCTTCCTCGCTGTCACGAGTTTATTGATGTCGTGGTAAGCTGATATCATAGTATGTGAGGGTGCTGCCGTTGCACAAGCTGCGTGTTCACTGACACAATCGGTTCCTTCCTGGCCACGACGTGCTGCTCTCATGTAGCGGAAGAAACGGAGAATCTCCGGATTGTCTGACACAGGACGTCGCAGTTCGTTCAGCTCTCTGAAATTGGGTTACAGATATAAAGAGGTACGGGTCAATGACCTTGAGACTTGAGATTATGTTTGTTTGAAATTGTATTTAATTATACTGGAGAACATTAAAAATACACACACACACACACACACAAGCACACACACGCAAGCACACACACACACGCATACACACTCAGATATTCATATATCTACATATATTAATGTTATTAGAAATTTTAATGAACTCAATCTTATATATGTGCGTGTATAATCCTACACATTTATATTTAAAACTGATGATAGAGTTATAATGTAATTAATAATAATAAGGTAATTGATAACATAGATGAAAATTTAAGGAATGTGCAATTTAAAGTTTCATACATTTGAACTCCAAAAACATTACCATTTCAATTTGAAAAAGCAACAGAAATGAATCACAAATAGTGTGAGCCAGTAAAACGTTGATATAATAGCTGAAAACAAAGTTAGCCAAAATAATCCAATCTTTCGTCTGATTCCAGGAAATTGGAATATCTGACGTCGAAAAACAGTTTGATTGGCTGTTTCGTGTTACGTGTTGACAAGTTTTCAGATATAACCCTTTTGCGATTGGTGTATTTATGGGTTTATACCATTCGAGAAAGGAACTATTTGAAATAATGAACTTTTGCTTAGATAAACATTACTTGTTGTATATGGAATTGTTTACAAATAGTCTTTTTGATTGATAATTAATCTTTTACAAATGAAAGAAAAGAAATATATTATCATTCTACTAATGTTTGTTACAAGAAAAAAATATTATAAATCATCTAACCGAGAATAAATAAACACATATAATATATGACAAAAATCTAGAATTAGTATTAAAACAAACTCGTAAAACGCTTTCAAATTGATTGTTCTTCAGGCAAAAGCACTTTTTTTTCTAAAAGTTATTCAATTTATGTTATGAAAAGTATGCTCCAAATGAAATTGATGTGAAATGCAAGAGCCGTCATATTCTGAATATTTGAAATTGAACTGAAGCGAGAGCTATGAAAAAGATAAAAGTAATTGCAGTCTTAAAGATTTATTACATTTATAAAGAAAATTCATTGAAATGTTTAATTTACGTGAAGCAGGATTAAAATATAATATATGTTTTTTCTTCCATATAAATGAATAGTGTTATGTATTAAATTTAAATTCTATAACATATTCTGGTTCAACTATCTCTTATTTGGTAAGCATTTTTATTTTCAATGAATGTTCAATACCGTGAACAAGGTAACTGAAATTTCATATCGTCTACCGTGCTGAATCCGAAAATATAGTTTTATTTAAATATCCATATGGAGATCTTAGATATTAAAGCGAAATGCATTTGAAATAACGAAATTTAAAAATACCTATTAATACCTGGATAGTATAAATCCTTATATATGAAAGCATCAATTGACATTTGACAGTCACAGCTAATCTGACAATCTAAATATGTAGTTTCGCATCGTTAACTCAGTGCAAAGTACACCTTAGGAAAGCATGGACTTTTAATTGTTGATTCTTTTTGTTTTAGACGAATAACATTTTTAGTTTAGTGCTTAAAATACGATCTTAATGTTGTCTAAATATACAGCTTACTTTAGCTTGTTTGTAGGAATTATTTATAGTATGTACATACCTGCTTAGCTGTGCTGATACAAGGTTGCTGTACGGCGCATATTTCGCGGGACTTGCATACATGAGACAGATCAGCTGTTCCCTGCATGCTTCCAATTTGACCTCGCTAAGCGTCTGTCCTCCAACTTGCATTCCATCGTCTGCGTTGGAATCTGACGGCGCTAATCCTGGAAATAAATAATAGCAATATTATAATATCACTCTCATTTTCCATTGCTAATTATTTACAAAAGGAGCTAGCTTCAAAATCTACATATGAATTTTACAAGAGAGTAGTAGCAAAAATAATAGCAGGTTATGTAGCGTTTATCTTAAATTATAAAAAACTGAAGATAGACTAGATTAGACTCAAGACATATCAATATGGAAATGACTCCAAAAGAAAATTAGCGTTTGACTTCTATAACAAAAAAGACCTCAAAATTGTTAAGCAAGTTGCTTAGTAATCTAAATTAAAGATTAGATTTAGTTTGTAAAATAGATGAAGAGAATTAATGTGAAACAAATGGAACACATGAATAATTTATGAAAGATCATACATAAAACATTTATATACCATCAATTTGTGAAAGTTGAGATCATTAACAAGACTGACAAAGTATCCGAGCCATAATCTTCATTCGTTAGCATCGGCAAGATATAAACGCTATAGATTGTCAGTTTAATAGGTATTTAAACTTTGTCAACGTATTATAAAAGTTATTTAAAACAAAGCGTATTTTTGCTATAATATATAAAGAGCTAATCAAATTCTTAAGTACTTTATCGAGTCCGGAGACATGTCAAAGTTATATTAGTCTTGGCAGATCAATAAAATATTCGTTCTCGTTTCAAAACTGAATTTTAGAATTGATTTTTACTAAATTTAAATTCTTATATAATTATTATAATGCTATATTATTTGGCACTAAAAGTTAAGCATAAACATTTTACATATATTAAATATTTATATTAGCTTTCTCTATGTTATTTTCATACTGAATTCGGTCACACTTTTCACTCGTTGTTCTTAATTCTTAAAAATTATGTTTATTTATAAATTTTAATAATAAATTAGCATCAAATTTAAATGAAACTTTCCTCTTTCATTCCGTATATAGAGTCCGTTAACGTGAATAGTAGAAATATTTAAAAAACTACTATGTTAACTTAAATTTTCATTAATTTTCACTAAAGTTCATGAACTGAATAAACTTTATTTATTGTAACATGTACAGATATAATTTATCTCTGTTAAAATATAAGGAAAATAAGGTTAAAGGACCCCATAGGCGTTATTACAATTGGCAACATCAAAGCGTTCTTTAAGTACACAATCTTAAGATATCAAGGGAAGGTTCGCAATTAGTTTTCACTAACTAGTTATTGAACACGGCTTTGCTTGCATTAATTTTTTTTTCTTATCTATTATTATACACAATGTATGTATTCTCGTATGTTTTATTGTCTACTTTTATTTTTAATAAGTATTAATTCAATTATAACAATGAGTTTTTGTTTTTATGTAAATACAGAGTTTCTTAATAATATTGCGTATTGATAATTAGAATTTGGTTTATATAAATAAAACGATAAGAAATATTAGATAAACAAAAATTAATGAAAAAGATATTTGTCGATTTTAAGGTGGTGTACTAATGACTTACTTGATCTGTTATGGTTTGTTTTAAATATACTGTTATTGTTTCTTATAAAGAAAATATAAATTAACATAATAATAATTCCAGGAAAGAAGTAAAGTGTCAAGATTTGAGAATATTATATATTTCCTAAATTTATTATATTAGATTCAGGAAAGTTCTGAAACAGTTTTTTTGTATGATAAAAAATGCTACACTCGTTCATGCCTTGTCAAATAGAATTTCATGAAATCTCACTTCAGCTCACTCTACGGTAATTAATTTTATACACAGACTTACACTTTCAGATTTTTAACAGAATTTAGAGTTCGTATGTTATTTTGAGTTAGCTAAATTAATAATTTTGTTTATTATAATATATGTATTTTTAAGACACATTGATACATGAGAATGCTATAAATATAAATTGCTTCTCTTGTAAGATATATATATATATGTATATACTATTCAAGCTATGTATTAACGTCAGTAACAATTGTTCTTGATAAGATAATCTAAAAGTAAAACTCAATCTAAAGTAACATTTATCTCTATATAACAAATTGCTTTGCCTTAATCTAAGCAAGCTGCTGGGACGTCTTAAATAAAATGCAACGAGCATTCCAAGAATACAAAGATCATGGCAGGCGACTGTGAAAAGAACAATAATGTATCTTATTTGAGTAAGAAATGAGATAAGTTTATATTTTAGTTTTAAATAAAGATATACCTTATAGAAATTTATTAAAGACGGCTTATTATCCTTTTTTTTGAGTTGAAAATGGGAATAGAGTAGTATAGAGTTTGTGATTTGTAGAAAGTATTAGTATTTTATTAAAAAAAAGCTTTTTATTCTTAGTTACATGGTACACAAATGTTACGGTATTCATAGTGGTATAGAACTACACAACATTATCGATGGAGAATTAAATACAAGAAATTTATCGACAAATCTCGAAGGAAGTTATTGAAGGAGCTATGTGATCAAACGTTTTAATTTACGTACCCAGTCTAGCGAAGATGCCGTCGAGTCGAGAAAGCAAAGGCGAGTAGAATGGGTCATAATTGCTCAGTATCATAGAAGATGCTGGAATTTTCTGGAATATCTGAAAGATTTTTAAGTATTACATACATATAGTAAGAACGAAAAAATTATACACAGGCCTCTGGGTCAAGGTTTTGCTTGTATAATTAATATCAGTTTTAAAAATAAAATAATAAAAAAGGGTCTTTGATAAAAAATAAACTTTAAGTTTTAATTTACGTCATTACTGCAAATTTAACAAACACTTTTATTGATTTAAAGTACTGATTCAATGCGACAATTAAAAATAGTTTAGAATTAATTTAAAATCAAACCACAAATTACAATTAATTATATGATTATAATAAGTTTTTTATTTTTTTAATCTTTATTGTCCTGAAATATTAACATAGCGTGAAGACCTGGTTAGGGAAAGGTTCACAAAGGACTTAATCTAGATTGTTCGAGACGACTTATAACCAGCCAAGCAAATGCACAATGGAAGATTATACGAATACTACTAGGGCAATTGTTAATTGAAATAGTGTTTATACAATAAAACAAGATGTAATGCTTTCTTTAAAATGTCCTGAATTTGTTCTAGATTATTATGTTTGTATAAATCAGTCTTTGTTAATTTTCTGGCCTTGAAATATCTAGAATCTAAGATAGGAGCCCCTTAAACCTACACCTGGGTCGCAACTCCCAGGCACTGTTGGAGCTCCTCTCACTACAACGATGGACCCGGGTCCACCATCCGGGAGCCGGCTCCCGGCACGTGTATTCATTGAATGTTTTGTTTTTTATATGCCCACTTTTAAATACATTAATTTGGAAATGATTTCTACACACCTTGTAGTTGTTGCCAGAAGACATTTGGTTTTTGTAATATCCGTTTTTAGTCGGGAGATAAGATACTTTCTGACCTCCAGCTCCGAATCTAAAATAGCAAAAGAAATATATATATAAATTACTTAGTATAACATTATACATGTTCCTTAATATTTTATCTTTATGTTATATGAGAAAAAAAACGTTAAAACCTTTTGAATCTATAAATTTCAGGCTCTAATTACTGTATCATTAGTAAAGCACTTTTCTTTTTTTTGTCTACAATTTAAGAGACGATAATATAATTTGAGTAGATACTGTTCTAATATATTGTATCGGTTTTTTATATTTATATTTATCATAAAAACGACATATAAATGAGTTTTCAAATTCATTTATCTGTACTGGATTGAACTAATTTGCTTATAAAAGAATTTCTATAGCTTCGAGCTAAACGTTGTATGCCTTTGTTTAAAAGTTTATTCATGTGAGATAATATTTTTATTTCTCCTTTATAAGAATATTTACTTATTTAATAAAAGAATAACTTTCTGTTTATTAAATAAGTGGAGATTACAAATTAAATTAAATATAATTACTTGTAGTAGCTATATTTTGTTTACGAAAAGAAGCGACCCAAAAACCTATTAAAAATGCCCATATAAGTGTAAAATTTAAATATTTTTTTTGTTTTTCCTTGACTTCAGCCAAGCGAATATTAGTTTTTATGCATGTTGTAATGTAGCTTGTTGGTAATTTTCAAAATGAAACAAGGAAACTTACAGAGCCGTAAATCACAGGGTATGTAATTTGTCATGAAAAATGCATTCATTTATCTATCATGAGGATGATTATGTTTTATGATCATGACCTACATTGCTTTAAAAAATACTCTGTCCCAATGGGATGGTTGGAAATGTCGCTGGCTCTCATGATAAACATTTGAAATGAAAAAATATATTAGCCTCGCAGCTTACTTCCATTAGCGCATAAATTGAGAAACATTTCAGAATGCGCATTACTTTGGGATTATGATATAAATTAGATCAAAGCTAATTCTTATCGTGTTTGGATATTTATTGTTTCAAGCGAGAGAATTTTTAAAGCATTCATGTCATATTTATCTTGTAACAAAAACGTTATTAGTATATATTATATAATGTTGCTTGGCTACAACGTCTATCTTTAAAATCTGTACTATTATATTGCTTCTAATAAAATTGTATTATACAGTAATATAGGCAAACTATGAAACTGATTCCTTTGTTCGCCAAGTTTCAGTCCTCATAATTTAGCCACAGGCGAGGATTAAGTTACATAGTTTGCTTATATATGTGGTAATTACCTTGACATATCTACATTAGATAGATCACTCATATCGTTGGCGTCGTTTCCATACATTCCATCTGTATATGCGTATGTCGCTGCAGGATTTGTTTCATAGCCCATATGATCATTATTGTAAGCTGTCTGATCGTCGGTGTTGGCTGGAGGATAGCTTGCCTGGCTTGATGCAGCTGAGACTTGGGATATACCTTGAAAAATGTAACGAAGTATTAATATAAATACTTTATTGTTTGAATATAAAAGCATGATTTAGAGAGTATTTCATGTACTAGCCAAATGTTCTTGATTGTTCGTGGAATTATTTAATTTGAATACAATGTTATGATGATGAAGAATTTATATTTTCTTAACATATATATTTTTAGATATATTCGATTCGACAAAATTAATAAAAAAATATTGTATAATATACCAAACTTACCACCTACCTCCTTACCAAATAAAATGAACAGTACATTACTCCTTAGTAAATATTGCAATAAACTTTACATAAATTAATTTAGTAGCGTAATTAGGGGTTTCTTTATGTATGAAATTAGAGTGTATAGAGGATTGTTTCATTAAATCAGACTATAACGACATTATAAAGAGTTAATTTAAAAAATCTATACAATGTTTCTTAGGAAACAAACATAGCAGAGGTTGAACAATCAATTACTGAAGTTTTAAGGGGTATCAAACAAATACTTGTTTTATTATGAACGTATATTAGTATCCAGTATGACACAAACTTGTTGTAGAAACAACCTCAAAGTTTGGGAGATTTAATTAATGAAGTTTTTCCTGTTTTTACTTACCTTTTCCGAGTATTTTTCCAAAACTTCCCAAGATGCTCGGAAGAAACATAGCCAGTAAAATACTTTTGAAAACTTGTGCACCAATAAGAAGCGGCAAAAATAAGTTTTTTAGTCCGAATGCTGAAATATAAATGTTATGTATACACGATGAATGAAACTAATATTTTCGGATTTTACTTCGCGTTTTTTATTTTTGATTACGAACAACATACTCCCGACGTTTCGGCTTATTTTTAGCAACCGTGATCACGGGCAGACGAGATGTGTCATGTGAGTGTCTGTCAGTTGGTCTTGTTATTTTATCATCTACCGCCATCGATTTCTTAATCTTCTAGCGTACCGCTCTGGATGCCCGCAGAATGCGCTTACGATGTCTCGAGGTCACGCGGTGTGGTCACGGACAGGGGATTTTATATTTTTTAGAAGAGGATCCCAGGTATTTGATAGGTTCCAGCCATCTTCTCTATTGAAATTTGGGTGTTTCTTAATTTCAATAGCCTCGCGGATTAAACTTGGTATATATCTTTCTTCACGAGCGAGAATATGTGGTTTATCAAATCTAATGTAATGGCCTGGTTTGTCCAATGCATGTTCACACACTGCTGACTTCGACGCGCGCCTATTCCTGACGTCTGAAATTTGTTCCTTAACCCTTGTACAGATGCTTCTCTTTGTCTGTCCGACGTATGACAAGCCACAGTCACAATCAAGTTTATATACACCCGCTTGTTGTAAAGAAATGTTACTCTTGATTGGTCTCAAGAATTGGCTCACTTTCTTATGTGGTTTATAAATAGTCTTGATTGACACCCTCTTCAAGATGTTGCCTATTCTGTCAGTAACTCCCTTCACATATGGTAGAATTGCAGGTTGTCGCTCAACCGTAGGTAGAAAAGTAGCCGAAACGTCGGGAGTATGAAGTTCGTAATCAAAAATAAAAAACGCGAAGTAAAATCCGAAAATATTAGTTTGATTTAAATGAGTACTTAAAATCTTAGATCTCATTATACACGATGAATTTTATTATATGAAAAAGTATTGAGAGAGTACTTACACCGGAATCCCATTAACCTGGCAGCTTTGGGAAGGTTAATTGATAGTATATGAGTATCGACAAAGTTTTTTATCTTTTGGAACAGTCGGTATTCATATGTATAAGTACTGAATAATGCTCGACTTTCATCTTTCTCTTCCGACCTTTCAGTTTTTTGTTCCGTTTTATTTTGACCGTCAATTGTTTTGATTTCAACTCCATCAAATATTTCATATCTATCTTTATCAAGCACATTATCTAATGCAGTTTCGAAAACATTTTGTAATTTTTGTTCAGTGTTATTAGTAAATATGTATTTTTCTGAAAATCTACTAACAGAATCTATAAAATCTGCTAGATAGCTTGGATTTTCATCGTCTTTATTAATATTATTTTCACTAACTTGACAGCTATGGCAGTTATTAGAATTTATACTATCTATACTAGTTTCCGTTTTGTTTGAGCCATCTACTTGACTTGATATCTCTTTGTGGATAGTCTCACAATTCACTGAGGCTATAATAAGGTTTATATAAAATATTACTAAGACAGCCTCTTCCAGGAACCTCCACTGATTTCTCTTAAACATCTTTTGGATTGATTTATCCATTTTCTGTTATAACTTGTATCAAACTTCATTACCGTCGTTAGTAATTAACTATTGTATTATGTGTTTATAGTTCATTAGATGCATCTGTAACAGAAACGATAAATTTAATTATAATATTTTTCCCACATTTCTTATGGAAATCTTCCGTGTATATAGTCTATTGTTATATATAAGTATTGGCGTACTCTCGCGATTATTTTTCCTCCATTTTCTTCATTTCTATGTTTTCTCTATGAACTAACTAAATTGTTTTTCATGAGTAGTTTCGTGCGGTCTTCTTTTCGTAAATTAATTTGTAAGACATTATGTGAGTGAAAATGTTGTTTTTCTTTAGTAATAAGCCTAATAGGTCAGTTTTCATTTATAAAATTAATATTTGTATTAATGAAATAATTGGTTGTATTAAATATGACAGATTTAATAAATTTTATTTTTAACACCAAACTCTTGTAGATATTTCTTAATAAAAATATAAATTTCGTTGGAAGTTAATCTTACAAAATTTTAATTGAGCCGTTTCAGATTACTTAGCTCGTTATGAAATTCATTATCTTTTGCTTACAATTTGTTTTAATGCGTAGGAAGCAATCTATTGAAATCTTGGGAGAGCTCAATCAATGTATTATTTTCTCAATAAACTCATCTTTAATTAGAATGGTGTATGAATTATAGGACTAAATATGTTTTAGTTACAGTTATAAATATACTGCCAAATAAAACATTAAAAACGTTGCAACTTCATTAGAATCATTTTTAATTATTTGATAGATAAGGTTATTTTCTTTAAAGAACTGTTAAAGGACATGTTATTTTATTTCTTTATAGCATTTGCAATACAAAAACGTTTTGCTTTATTTAGAAATAATAAAATATATGACATAAATGTAAATCTTAAACAAATGCTTATCATACAAATTTAAGACTATAAAATATTTATTATTTTTTTTTTGCATATTCTGGTCTACAATTCTGACTGAAAAAAACATTATCGAACTAAATAAATATAAAAAAATATAAAACTAGAAGGAACGGTATTGATGTTGAAAGAAATAATATACTTTTTATTAGATTGTAGCTATGTATGATGTATAATAATATATTGAGAGTTGAGAAGAAAATTGATTTTAAAAGTTTCTTCTAATACCGTAACGAGAAAACTTCTTCGATCACGATTTGATAGGAATTTTAATGATATTGAATATATAATATGAATCCCAAAGACATGTTTCTTGTAGAAATGAATTTGCAATGATTTTACTAGTTTTGACTTACAATTATATGGATAGGTTTATGATTAATATCATACCAATTCAGATAAATGGAAGTGTTTTTAATTAACTTTAGATACTTAAAATACTGCTCGTAGCGGTTCATATTTTTTTTAGTTCTAACTCTACAAGACATTGAGGTATTAATGATACTTGCTAAAATATTGACACCCTCGCCTGATGACACTGTGAGCTAACTCATGGTCTAGACTTCTTTTAGATAAAAACATTTACTAGCCTTGGTGAAAAACTTATTGGAATTTGCTATAAGCAAAGATATAAATACAACGTGACTTTTGTCGTTGGAGATATTTTCAAGTGTTCCGTATATTTTGTTATAAATTATAAAAGGATTCTTATTATATATAATTTAAAATAAGGAAGATCCAGTTCGTAAATAAAAATAAGATAAATGTTAACAATCGTTAAAATAAACTTGATTTCACCCAATAACAAAAAAATAACGAATACAAAAAGTTTTGTATTCAATCATTTTAATTTGGGAGAAAAAACAAGTGAGGAAACAATTCTATAAATGTACAACAATTTCCTGTTCATGGCAGAAATAAAACAGAGTTTACTGAAATCATCTAATTATTCTAACGGATACAAATGGGTTTTGTTTTGTATCCATAAAATCAAATACGACGGTACAAATGTTTTGCATTGGTGTGGTGGAATTTGGATTTTTACATTCGTAATAAAATTATCATGTATTACTAAATTGTGAATCTTTTGATTGTTTTAATTTGTATGAAGCTTGTAATTTAATATGAAAACATACTATTTTCAAGACCTAACTCATATTATAAATAAACGAGTTTAACTTTTGGCTACCATTTAGTTTAACCAGTAAAACACAATGAAAAAAGTGTATAAGGCTAGATAGCAAAGCATGCATCTGATTTTTGATAATGATTTTGAAATAATATCTTATTCAACGTAATTTAAATATATTTGTATTACATATAAGAATTATTAGGTAGTCAACGAAGTATGGAAATTTGGATAGCATGACTATTGTGAATTATGAATCCTTATCAAATGTTTTATTCCGCTCACAAAAATAAAAGTACTTACAAAAATGACAGACAGACATGTATTACGTATTTTTTGTTTAAATAAATGTAAATTTTAATCTCATATGTTTGTATAACTTTTGTTTTTATATCCTGTCCTTTTGAGTAAATATCACTCGAAATGAACAGTTAAATAAATTTAAATAAAAGATACAGTATGTACTTAACAATAATATCAAACGAAATACGAATATCTTTTTTTATTTCTTCAATAAAACGAAATAAATTATTATAAATATCATAAAAATTTATTACATAATGTCATTTTATGATCAATGAACAAGACTGATTTGACATTTTCGGTCCCTTGTCAAATTGCAATTTGCGACCATTGTGTCCTTAGAAGATATGTAACATTATAAGAAAACTGTATTGCGATGTAAGAAATGTATATCTTATATATTATAAAAATATATATAAAGATGAATTAAATGAATGTAATATTTTAAATTTTAAATTAAAGTTCTAAAGTCATAGCGAAATGATATTGTTAATTAAGCAGAATATAATAAATGAATCCTCACGAGAGACGCGATCTCTTTATCAAAATAATATGAATGATTTAGATTTTATAATACTTATTAAGTCATTGAAAAAGAATCACAAACCTGGCAAAATTTTTTGTAATAACTCATATACACTAACTTCACGAACGACGAGTGATGAAACGATTGATGTGACTGTTTTATATATGAGTATTTTGTGATTGAATCGCTACGAGATACAAACAGACAGACATTTAAAAAAAAAATCTCTTCATCTGAGCCTCTCAGTCCCAGTCTGAGTCATCAAATACATTAATGATAATTAATTGAATAATTGGGGCACTCAATCAAGTTATCAAAGGCCAGAAATTCCTTTAATCATGTGTGTCTGATCTTACATTATTGGACCGATATTAACCAACTAGGAACTAACTTACATTCAGATGAAAATAAACAATATTGCAATCAGTTGATGCTTTTGAAATGTATACACATACATACGCACACACACACACACTCACACACACACACATACACATATATGTAGATATATACGTTAAATTTATAACATCATTCAATTGGGGTCCAGGAATAAAAAGGAACCAAATCATTATAATTTATATACAATCAAATTAACATCTTAAAAATTTATCGTTTAGTTATCGAAACACAAAAAGAGTTAAGAGTTCTTTGATATAATCATTAAACATAATGTTTGTCATTTTTCATAGCTGTAATAATAATATTTTGTATCAAACCGAAAAACGCTGCGTAGTAATATCACAGAAACAGCAGATCCGACAGTTTCCGACCCTTGTCAAGTATTGCGATTTGTGACTGATGTTATCTTGACTCGCTTTATTATAGCAGGATTATGGAGAACACAGAATTAGTTTTATAACATGTCAATACAATGATAAATTATGAAACTTTACGACTTTTGTGGTAGAATAACTTTTTATTTTGCTATCAAAATGATATTATGTGAAAAGTATTAGTCGTAATTTTAATGAATTACTTCCAGAATCGCTCTCGTAATTGTGCCATTTGATATAATGTGGTCATGTATTTATACTAATTGAATATATAATAACATTTGATTGCATTTATTTGTATTTTAATTAAATATTCAAATCATTACAAGATCATATCTTTTTTATCTATTATAATTTCAAAGATTCAATATTAAAAAATTTCGATGTTACAATATGTAAGCTTAAGGGCATATTAAGGATCTTAATTAATAAAAAGATAGGTATTTCTTATGAATAAAGAAGAAAAGTGTCTAAAGCTTTGTAACTTATTGTCTGAAGATTTTTAATTAGTCCTATTAAGAAAGATCGCCTAAAATAATATAGGTACGAGTATCTTGAATCAATATAGCTAGACTTAAGTAAAGTAACAATTTTTTTATGATAAAAATATCTCTATAGTTTAAGTTTCATTAGTTAATTAACTTTTCGTAAGCAGACATTTTAATTAAGATTTAATCTATATTAAATTTGACATAGATTTTATTTAAAAAATTGGTTTGTAAGTCATGAACTATCGTTCTACTTCTACGTTCTAGTATATACAGACAAATATCTTTAACACATATGAAAGAAAGTTGAATTTCATTTGCATTATGTGATTAAGAAAGGATTTCTTCACTTGACCCACTAGTCAACACTTTCGCTGACATCTCTTGTGTGGGCCAAGTCATGAGATATATAATTTTATCTTCATATTCGGGTATTTCCTTTTCATATGAAAAATGGACAACACAATTTTTTTGTGTTATCTTTTTCTTTAGTATAAAATTTGTATCGTATAATGTGATATGATTTGCAATGGTTTAGGAAAACCTTTATATTATTTTATACATATTTTGTGATATTTGAAAAGAAGTTTTCAATGAGATAGGTATACCACGTAGAATAATTCTGATTCTAAATAGATGAAATTTATACTGTTAGTCAAAAAAATAATAAATCGAACCTACTACAAATAAAAAACATCAGTTTAATTTCATAATAAGTGCTTTATTTTCGTCATGAATTTTCATTTTTTTTAAAATCAATTATGTAAATGTTATTGCTTCGTTTAATTGTAAATTATCCCTTGTTCATGTAAATTACATATTTTTGGAATTTTTTAGGTCAATATAAGATTAAGTAGATCTTTTA